ACGGCATTCAGCAAAAATAATTGCTTATTTGGAAATCGTGAGATGCGGTCTGGTGTGACGTAGGTTTTAGAAAAACATTTTCTTTATCGTGCCAAAGTTTCGAACTTTGTTGAGATCATCTTCAGGGACTGGGATTTATAAGCATTGTTTAAATTATACAAATACATGTAGGATGTGAAAAATGTATTTGTACAATGATAGAAATTGTAGACTCAAAGTATTTATACTCACGCAAAGTGAGATTTTCTAAGCCTACGTCACACTAGACCGCATCTCACGATCTCCAAATAATCATTAATTAACGTTCACTAACACCAGACATAAATAATTGCTACTAAACGATATGAACAATATAGGACTTCCTGGCATAATTGTTTGTTAATTTTCTTTTGTTTCATACAATATACATTTTCTCATTTAAAATTCGTATAAAATATTTATTTATTAAATCTATTATATTTCGTGATCCGATTGATCAAATAACTTCTTTCAATTAATTAATATTTATGTAAGGTATTGGTTGAAATGAAAAAGTTAGCGTCAAGACCGGGATTCGAACCCACCATGTTCGGCTCAATACGCCGATGCTCTAACCACTTGGGCTGACTTCGATCCACTCGGACACCAACTCCCTATACTTCATAGGGAACAGTACTTCGTTTTACTGATTAAATCCATTATATTTACTGGTCTGATTGACCAAATTACTTCTTTCAATTTCCTTGATTGCTGACGACTGCATCCCACCGAAAGTCATTCAGGTGTTCAAAGAAAAAGCTGATACTAATTTGGCAAGGTATTCCAGAGTTTCCTGTGCAAAGATCTATTATTACATAATAATAATAATAATAATAATTATTATTATTATTATTATTATTATTATTATTATTATTATTAAGGACAGTAATTCAGTAAGATAAAACACAAAAGGAGAAAAAAATTTAAGGTTTAAAATATAAAAACAGGAATTAAAAATTAATCCATTTAACCAATCTGCACATTTTCGCCAGTCACCTAATGCAGTGCTTGCACAATTGTTAAAAATTAACTCAGAAGAGCTTAGAAGGTGTATAAGACAAAATAAATGAAAGAAAAAATAAAAATAATGAAGAGAGAAGATCAAAAATAAAATAAAATGCAATAAAGATAACATAAAAATTAAGGAATACAATAATTGCCATATGATGCCAAACATACCACAAGCAAAGTTCCAAATATAAATTTTTACAGAAATAAATTTTTTGAACTCATGAGAATTAAATTTGTTAAAATTATTTTTATGATCGTAAATAAACCTAAAAACATTTAATGAAAAATTGAGTAAAAATTAGTCCATTATAAAGTTTTGGTTGAAATGAAAAATAGAAAAAAGGAGGGAAAATTCGAAAGGTTGTAGGTTGAGATGGGGGGGAGTTGGTGCCCGAGTTGATTGAAGTCACGATAGCACAAGTAGCACAAGAGAAGCGGCGTGTTGAGCCGAAGGTCGTGGGTTCGAATCCCGCTCGTAACGCTAACTTTTTCATTTCAGCCAATACCTTATATAAAAATTAATTTATCATTTATAATGTTTGCACATGTTCGATTTTTCTTGAGGTTCAAGAGACGTTCGGAGATATTTTTACTCAGTTCAATGTAGAATATCTTTTATCATTTCATTAGTGGATTACTTTAAATTATGACTACGGATTGGAGTATGTACAAATTATGATATAACAATTTAAAAAATAGGAATGAAGAGATCTTTTAATTTATGTATTTTAAATCCATACCCAATTAAGCATTCATTCGTCTCAATTAAACTATTTATCATTCCATCATGAACTCTTGCGTAGGAATGTGTTTATAATTTAAAAATCATAGCGTTTATTTATTGTCATATCTTTTATCCACAATTTGTTTATTGTTCGATTTCCGTCTATACGTTGATACAACTTACGATTAGTTATGCTTGTTTAAACAAAGAACCTCGCATAGTTTCTCTCTGATGTTTAATAAAGCCAATGAGCACAGGGAATCTAGAATCTCGTCTTTATGAGTGGAGTTACATCAGTGGCCGAGGTTGCAAAACCAAATCCTTATTGGACGGTGACCTCGTTCCTTCCGAGACGACCAGTCTCCGCGCCACAACGCCAGCGATAAATACAAACATTTCACCTACTTGGTGAAGTATTTTCAGTCAACAATTGATAATTTAAACTTTTAATTACGCCCAATTGGGAACAATATGGTTTAATGAGCCGGGCGATAGAACAAAATTGATTGCTTAATAGGCTAACTAGTGTCAGACCAGATCCTAGATCCGAAAATCTAATCGATAGCGCGCGTCCGTTCTCGCTGTCCTTAAGCTGGTCGTGGGTTGAACTATCATTATCGAAAACACTCGTAGCAATTGACAATAAATACAGTTGTTGTGTAAAATATTATAATTGAAAAAACCAACGGAGGAAGAAAATCAAATAGAGATAACTCTGATTATTTATTGCTTCTTCTGCCTTTTCCTTCCTTCTCTGCCTTGGCCTCCGGGCTCGTCCTTGATAAGAAGCGTTTCGAATTTCTTAGCATACGATCAGATTTATTTCAATCCTTGTGGGTGTCCGTTGGCTAAAAAATCACGCATACTTTTAAGGCATAGTTGTTTTTTTTTTTTGATGAATTTGAAAATAAACTTTGAAAAGGAAAAACTTTCTTATCCGTGGCCCTGAAGAAAATACATTAAGTCTTTATTTTATTTAGTTTGTGAACGGACAAATCTATCTTAAAGATGCCTATAAATTGACAAAATTATGTCACGGTCTTTGGCAATACTGGGACTGAGTCTTCAAGAAACTATTAAAAACTTAATTATGCAGATATCTTTGAGATTCTTTTGCCCTGATAATGACATTAGAATACGTCGAAAGCTTGGCAGATAACAATTGAATTAGTTTTTCATCCGGATCATGCCGAGATCCAGATTATTTGTGGAGTAAAGAATTGGTCGGTACTCCCAACATTTCAGTCGTATATCGCACTATGAAAGTGCTTGACTTCATGGCCATTCCGAAAGTAACACAGTGTGAAAGGCCAGGATCCGAATATTCCTGTTGTGGTTGGAAGGCCTTTCAAATTACGGCTTCCGGGCCGGAAGGATTTCTCGATCGATTTATGCATCGTTTACAAAATAAGATATCCGTTTTCCTTCCTCAGGAGAAATTCAGTGGCGGTTTGCGGCGAAACTTGGCATCGGGTTGCTATGGGAAAAGAAAGTTGTTTGTCCGCCCAGGCAGTGGGCAATTTGAATCCGTAAATGGATCTTAAACTGGCCATCATCTGCATTTCATTGTCAAGACCGCTTTCCTCCTCCCTTGGTCTTTTTCCCGTTATAAAAGTCCGTTTCCCTTCCTCAGATGACTACTACAAGTCGCTGACGTTATTAATAAGGTCTAACTTTAGCCGTTTTGAAAGTAATAGATAATTTGGCTTTATAAAATTATCAGATTGTAAAAAGATACAATCGTAATATGTACAATCAATTCCTGATAATTCGAAAGCCAAGCGGCCACAAAAATAATTCGAATTATCAAGAAGAAATAAAGAATTAAAACTTGATATGCATTTTTACAAGTTGTTCAATAGATCAACTGAGAAATTGAAATTTTTATGCATTATTAATAAAATTTGTGAAGAGGTTTGAGTTTCAATGTGGTCTAGCGTCCTTTGTCTAAATTATTGTACAAACTTACAAAGTGACCAGTGCTGAGAACACGGTAGAGGGAGAGAGGGAGAGAGAGGGAGAGAGAGAGAGAGGGAGTTAAAGAGGGAACGTATAAGAGTAGGTGTGTCATTGAGAAAAGCTTTTAATCACTCTCTTGGTAAACAAATAACGTTAGTTTGTTTGTTTCCTTCTTCCAAAGTAAGAATATTAGTTACAGAGTGAATGGGAGTGTGTGACTGAATCGGAATGAGTACGTGAATGAAAGTAGATGGGCGAATGAGTAAGAGCATTAATGAGAAGTGTAAATGGATGTGAGTAAATGAGTAAAGATAGTTAGGTAGATAGATAGATAAATAGATAGATAGATAGATTGATAGATTGAGAGAGAGAGAGAGAGAGATTGAGAGAGAGGTTGAGAGAGAGAGAGAGATTGAGAGAGAGAGAGAGAGAGTGAGAGTGAGAGAGAGAGAGTGAGAGTGAGAGAGATTAGATCAAATAACACGCATAAGATTAGAAATGAAAAAAACAGCAAAAATTAACTACACGTAACTGAAAAATAAATAAAAAAGGACAAGAAAAATCAACAATTATTGTCTCCGTTTGAAACTGTCTAAACGAAAATAATTAAATAAGAACAACAAAACGGTAAAACACAAAAGGCTAAGGTTGGAGGGAGAGAGAGCGAGTAAGTGAGAAAGAGAGAAAGAGAGAGAGAGAGAAAGTGAGAGAGAGAGTGAGAGAGAGAGAGAGAGAGTGAGAGTGAGAGAGAAATTGAGAATGTAAATAGATAATGGGTAAAATATAAAGAAATACTTACCTTCAGTGCAATAACTTTTTATATTCCAGAGTTAAAGATAATACCATTTGTTGTATTTTTTGTTGTTGTATATATTTTAATTTACCTTACTTACCGTTGTAAGATGATTCGAGTGTAAGAGAACTCTTCTGTCCTCTTTTTCGTACATTTTTATTACCTAATGTGTACAGTTATTACATAATAATTGCGACTTATTTTTTTGTAGTTTTCTCTATGGCGCAGTGTTCGATTTTTATACATTTTGTAGTGCGCTTTCGAAAAATGGTTTTCCGGGGCGATGGGTAAGGAAAGTCGTTTGGCCCGCGACTATCTCGGTTTTCCTGTTTGTGTTGCATTTGGGGAAAAAAGGTGGGAAACGGATTGGTCAATCAGTTAGCAAAGAGATCCCGGTCACAAAAATAGAGTTCGAGCCAGGATGTGTCACGAGGCTGACGTCACATTAGAAGTTGAAGCCAAAATATGGATCCAGTAAGGTACAGTCACCCGGACGACATCCTTCGCACTCTCATTTCGTCCAGCTTCGCCCGGAACAAGAACGAGACAAAGTCGCTTTCCTGTTTTTCGCCCTTCGCCATTCTCAACACCCTCCGCGGTTTTGCGCTCAACTCTTGTTTTTGTTTTTTTTCAAACAACATCCACTTCGGTTTGTAAATTTAGAAGTTTATTTCGAGTCGAGTAGCGCGAAAGTGGGAGTTTAGGAAACTCCAGGCCTGGTCAGTTGCCACGATGAGTCCGCCGACGGATCCGCTTTGAATATGTTTAACTTTTTCAAAAAGAAAAAAGATGTCCACGCGAAAGGGAGGAGGCAGAAGAGGCACCCGGAGCCAGAGAGGCCGCCGAGAAAGACGGAAGTGAAGAAACTAGTTGAAATGGGCAACAACTATTCTAAATTGGACGACTGCAATAAAGACGGGATATCGCCCATTGAAACTAACCAGTTCGATCGAATTCCAATGTCTCCAGCAGTAAACGCGTCTCAAGAAGATGGGCCTTCTTCTAAAAAACTTACAACTGGAATAAACATTTATGAGAAATTTTCCAATACAGAAGGATCTTGTAAAATAGAAAATGATGATTTGCTTAAAACAAACACAATATTGTATAATTCATACAATGAAAAACCCCTTAAAGATGTAAATACTTCCGAATACGGCTCACAGACTAACACTGTAATACAAAAAATTGATAAAGCTGACACCTCGTGTACAATAAACAATGAAACTGGGAAAATAAACTTGAAAGAAGGCGTTTTGAAAGGAAACGAAGTTTTAGATAAAAATATTTCTGATGTTCAATTGGATGAAATAGCTTTTATAGAGGAAATGGGAAAGGGAAAGATAGATCTTCAAGATATAACATTAATGCAGGAAAAAGAAATTGTTTTAACTGAAGTCGCTGCTGTGCCTCAAATCGACGAAGAGGTAGAACAAGAAATCGACGAAAGTTTAGCGGATTTTACTAATTCCGATCCAGTAACTTGCGAAGAAGATCTCAGCAACAATGTCGTAAACAAATGTGAAAATATAAAATTAAATATTGAGGAGATAAAATACGAAATGATTCCAGAAAAGACTGATAATTTAAAGACTGCCGTCGATAGTGAGAGCCCAGAAATACTGAAGAAGAACATAAACGATTCACGTGCGAAGTTTTTCGACGAGCTGTTGGGAGGGGACCGAAAAGGGAAGGACGGGGAGGCCGATGCCAAGACCGAGCCAGTCAAGAAAGAGTCACCGAGCGATGAGGAGATGATTAGCCTGAGGTCAATTGGTCTTATCGAGTCTTTTCCGTCGATCCGCGAGGAAGATGAAGAAGAGCCGAAATTCTTAAAAAAGAAGAAACACGTCCATTGGGCGGATTCGGAAGAAGGCAGATGTCTAGAGAGTTACGAGGAGTTTTTGACGCCGTCATCTTCCTCGGAGGACGAGGAGGTGGACGACGACGGCGAAGAGAAAGACGTCGACGGGGATAGTGACGAAGTCGACGAAGACAGTCTTGAAGAAGAGTGCGACGAAGAACAGGCTGAAGACATCATTCCCGACGATTGGCGTCAAGACGATGAACCCGCGAAAGCCAAAATCGAATCCGATTCTGAAGAAGAGTCAGAAAAAGATAGTGAGAACGAGGAAGAAGATGACGAGACTGACGAGACTGAAGAAGAAGAACAAGAAGAAAACAATGAAGTTATAGAAGAATGTGTGAAACAGGCTACAAAAGAAAATTTGGATAGCGTTACCAAACCGTAAGTACATTTGTCCTTTTATACTTTTATTTTAATTAAAAACATCATCATCACAGAATTTTACTACTGCAAAAAATATATAAATATATGAAAAAGGGGAAAATTACGTTTTAATCAGCAAGATGGAATTACACACGAGGATAAAATTAGAACTGAAGCTTCTATTTATCCAAACAGATAAACAAAAATTAAATTCCCAATGAAAAAAAATCATAGTTTAAACAGTAAACGCTAAAAAAAATTTTTATTAATTATTTTTTAAATAAAAGTTCAGCGAGGATTAAATTATTTTATAGGGCTTAATATCACCAATTGACTTAATCAGTACCGGCTTTGCGGTCTTAGTAAAATTAAAATCAATTGATATTTGAATTATGTACAAATTTGAGAAAATATTTAATTGTTCCATGAGTAAATTTCCAGTTTTGTAAAATAAATGTGCGATCGTGTAGTTTCTTTTTTGCCTTTTTCATCTAGCCTCGGAGGTTTGTTCGTATTCTGCCCACTGCTGCAAAATATTTTACAAAAACAATTTTACGACGAAATGTTTTCGAATTGTTTTTGCACCTTTGAGAAACAAAAATACAACTTTATTTTAAAAAGTTTCATAGGCATTTTATTTATTTTTCTCCAAATTTCTAATCGTTGGACAAGTTTTTTTTTTAATTTGAGAGAAATCATGGGGTTAATTTACGCGTAGAGAAATCAAGATTTCACTTTTGGATATGTCGTATTGAAGAGGATTTTATAGGCATGAAAGGTGTGTTTTTGTCGTTTCATGCAATAAAAAGGTTTCTTTCAATAGACGTATGTAAGTCTATTATTTAAACAAAAAAAAAGTTTGCCACAGTCAATATCGATATCGTTTATCAGCTCCGGTCCAAATGTTATTTTTAATATCGCCTGATAGCCTTATCGGTCAAAAATAATATCTGGAAATTATTTTTCCTCAAATAAACTTAACTGCTAGACAATATAATAAATTTCAGAAAATCCAAGTCTGTTAGAATTAAAAAGATTTTAGTAAATAATAACAGTCATATAATTTAAAAAGACTGGAGTAATGTTAAAATAGCCCACAGGTCAGAAGGCTGAGAAGGGACTGAGTCCGAAGATATCAAAGTAAAATATGTAAAAACTGCAGAAAAGCTCGACTAAAAATAAAAATTAAGGAGTATTTATTACATAATAATAAAAAAACACCATACCTTCAAGCAGAACATAAAAAAGATTTTCGTTTATTTTATTTAGAATAATTGTTTTAACGATTTTTAACGAACAAGATCCAATGCAGTTTTTCCAAAGCTTAACTTAGACCTCGGGGAGCACCGAGTGCTTAAAATATTTGTTACAAATATCCTTTTTTTTTCCTGTCGATGCATAACGCCTTTTGGAATTTGGAGTGAATTCGTTTAATCATAGATGCGATGTTTGGCTTGAGACTCTGGCAAATAAGATCTGAAATTTAACGCTTAAAGTCAATAGACTTACTAACTAGAACATGCCCAAAGTCACTATACTTACCACCTACTACCATACCAATGTACTTACAATCTAGAGCCAGTTGAAAGTTCAAAAAACTTTCAATCCAAGCAAAGCGTATTTTTAGAGGCTTTTTACCCCTAGACTTACACAAAAAATTACCCTTTTTCATTCATAATGTTTTTTGACTTGGAATTGCCCGAAATTGTGAGGATCTAGGGTGAAGAATCAGTAAACTGAGACGGTGGATAAAGTTGTTAACTTAAAAGATCAACGTCAATAACCTTACTTTATAGAAAAAGTTCAAAGTGCCAAAGAACTTCCAGACAAAGTTCGTTCTTTTTAAAACGTCAGGTTGATCCTCTCCAGGTCTTACGATTCTTTAGGTACTTTTTAAATTTTTGTATTCAAATATGGTCACGATAGTGTGGATAGTAATCTGACAAATCGTGAAGACCTAGGGTGGAGAATATGTAAATCAACTGTGGATCAAGCTGTACCAAGTGCCAAGCTCCATCTACAACAAGATTAAATTTCAAAACACATTTATCTCCTATAGGTTTACCCTTCGAAATACCATAAAAAGTCTTATTTTCATTTTTTTTACTAAAACAAAAAAATTAAATCATGGAATCCCGTGGGCCTATGACAAACCGTGAGGATCTGGGCTGGATAATCAGAATACCAACACAGCGAATTAAGATTTTGGATTTAAGTTCACAGTTAATAAACTTGCCATCTAGAACCAGCTCAAAATGAATAAACTTGTCATCTGGAAACAGCTCAAAGTCAATAGAAACTCTCTTTCTTTATAGGAAATAAAAGAACCCTGATTTATACTGAGAAAGTGCACTGCACGATTGTTTTTAAATTCCTCCCCTTTCTGGACTGACCGGACATTAATTACAATGAAGTTACTTATATGAACTCTTACAACGGTGTTACACTACTAAATTAAAAAATTAGGTAATGTTTAACTATTATACTGCCAATGAAAAAACCGACCACCTGGTTTTTGCACGAAAAAATGTCCTATTTGGTAATGCATATTTTCTGTCTTTTAAGTCACAGACCTGGGCTAGGTCTCATTTTTTAGAAAATTTTACGATGAACAAGATTGCTTTTTTTAAATGGTTTCCTAGCTTCAGTCATTCATCAGTAAATTCAAAAATTCTGGAACGCGTCAATTTTTGCACTTTTTACGAAAACTTCAAATTGAGCTGTGGAGCCAGGAAATCGTCCTGGAACGACGCCATTTAACAATCGATAGGATATTTTAATAAGCTTTCTATTGGTCACCTTCCACTTTGCCAATTTCTCAAAAGAGAGTGATCAGATGAGCACATAAAAAAGCCACTTTTTTTGCCCAAAAATAGCGAATAATTCGAAAACGATTGAGAAATCGAGCAACGTGGAAGGTGACCAATTGAAATTAAATTTATTAAATCGATTAGGTTTCGTGGTCGATTGACCAAATAAATTCTTTTCGATTAAGTAATCTTTAAGTAAGGTATTGAACGAGATAAAAAAGTCAGTGTCACGAGCGGGATTCGAACCCACGACCTTCGGCTAAATACGCTGCTGCTCTACCAGTTCGGCTTTCGTAACTTCGATCCACTCGGACAACAACCTCCCATCTCAACCCCACTTTTTTTAAATTTTCCCTCCTTTCTGCCATTTAAAAAAAAATTGGAAAATTAAAAAAAGGTGAGGTTGAGGTTCGAGTGGATCGAAGTCACGATAGCTCAAGTGGTAGAGCAGCGACGTATTTAGCCAAAGGTCGTAGGTTCGAATCCCACTCGTGACACTAGCTTTTTCATTTCAACCAATACCTTACTTAAAGATTAATTAATCGAAATTAAAATTTATTTAAAATTTAGTTGAAATTAAAATGATTAAAACTTTCTATCTCTTGCTAAAGAGCGTCACTTCAAAACAATTTCCTGGCTCCACAGCTCAATTTAAAGTTTTCGTAAAAGTGCAAAAATTGACACGCTTTAGAATTTTTGAATTTACTTATGAATGACTGAAGATAGGAAAACATTTCAAAAAAACCTTCTTATTCAGCGTAAAATTAAAAAAATTAGATCTAGCGCAGGTCTGTGACTTAAAAGGCCGACGAAATATGCTTTTCCAAAGTTGGCAATTTTTTCGTCCAAAAATCAGGTAGGCAGTGGAGTTTGTAACAAAAGTTCATGTCTGTTAAAACATTTAATTCAGAAATCCTGCTGGATTGTTTGTGAAGTCCTGGTGAAGTTTCATCCCAAAGGACTCTGGTACTTTTAAGACCGTAGTTGAAGAAAATCGTGACTTGGAAGTATGTGAACTTAAAAAGAGACGTGTGGGTTTAAAAAGCCCCTCGAGATTGGCATTCTACCTACAACGGTGTGTTATTCTGTCCCAATTCGCGGAACCGTTATTGTTTTTTAATTTGCCATTACAACGTTTTAAATACAAACAAATCACCTTAGAAAATATGTACTATGATCACAAATCTATACTAACGGAATAAACCGAAGTTGAATAAAATGTGATATTCGAAAGGGGCGAATAGTCCCGAAAGGAGAACTCGTCTGGCAATGACTTGTAACGACCTTTCCTTTTATAGTAAAGATTGCATATTAACTGTGAGGTTGTTTCAATGTAAAATTTAATACGTAAAAAGGTGAATGTCGCCCTCTCAAACAATGTATTATCCAACTATCGATATCAAAATTATTCCCAATTTATGTGTGTGCTGGGGATTGGGGACAACAGAAGTGCCAAACCGTTAAGCGGGTCACTTGCCAGAATTCCGTTTTTTTCCGATAAATGAAATCAATTAGCCGACTTTGGCACGACCATATAAGTACGTTGACTCTGATGAAGTAGTTCGGCACGAATGGAAAGTCGCCTTCGCCTTTTTAAAGGTTATTCCCTCCCAGGACGTTTGTAAAAATAATTACTATTGCGGATTCGCGATCTGTCTTGATAGACGACTGTTCATTAAGAAAAAAGAAATTGACTTATTTTACAAGGGCTTAACTTAAAAGGAAACATTTCGTTGGGGAGAAGGACCGGGAATAAAAAAATTATAAAACACATTTACTCTTAACCTTGCGAATCCAGGTCAAAGAATGATTTATCCTATTTTCGCCTGAAGAATTTACAACTCAGTATTGTGTTCCACTAAACCGAAAACACCATAAAATTGTACAAAAAAAGCTATTCGTCAACTGCTCAGTCGACTATTCAGCCATGATTGGTATGATTAATTGTAATAAAACAAAATCCTAAACGATGTAACGTTTTTTATATATTGTTACTTATAAATTACTTAAGTACTTTTAACAACATTTAGTTAGTTTATCAGACATGATGAAAAATGACATCAGGGTTACAAGGATGCCCAGAAGGAAGCCGTTTTGTATATTGCTTACGATGAAAAAGCCTTGTCATCTGGTACAAGTTCAAAGCGTAAAACGTCACCATTTCTACAAATTTTCTTTCGTTTATTTTCAACTCACAGGCTGTGCAAG